AATGGTATTTTGGGATCAATTTCGGGGTATTTATATTTCGGGTTTCGGGTCCCAAAATAATTTTGCGTGCAAGTATATTCTTAACTTACCTTTCTATTTCTTCTTAACTTATCTTTTTATCTCTTCTTAACTTATCTTTTCTTTGAATTGTACTCTTGGACTTATAAAATGGTGTAGGCAATTGCGAAATGATGTAAGTAAGTTTTTTCTTTCTTTATTATTATTATTATTTTTAATAAAATAAATTCACTTACCTTTCTACCTCTTAACTTACCTTTCTATCTCTTCTTAACTTATCTTTTTACCTCTTTTTAACTTACCTTTCCTTTGAATTGACTCTTGGATTTATGAAATGGCACAGGTGATCATGAAATGGCATAAGTAAGTTTTTTCTTTCTTTATTATTATTATTTTTTTTAATAAAATAAATTCACTTACCTTTTTACCTCTTAACTTACCTTTCTATCTCTTCTTAACTTATCTTTCTACCTCTTCTTAATTTACCTTTCCTTTGAATTGTACTCTTAGACTTACAAAATGATGTAAATAAGCTTTTTCTTTCTTTATTATTTTTATTTTTTTTAATAAAATAAATTCACTTACCTTTCTACCTCTTAACTTACCTTTCTATCTCTTCTTAACTTATCTTTCTTCAGAATTGTGCTTTTGGACTTGTAAAATAGTATAGGTACTTATCCTTGCTTTGGAATCATGATTGTAAATTATGAAAAAATTCAAAATCAATTTTTTTTATAAATAGTGTAATATTATATCTAAAAAAATTTACTGATGGTCTATATAGAATTTTGATTTTAACTAATTTATAATATAGGAATTACTATTTAATATAGTAATTCTTTTGTATTTAACTAGTGATATAAGTATATAATTGTAATATATAAACTTTGACATTTTCAAAAATTTCCAAAGACTTTTTAAAATGAAATATTATAAAAATATTTTATTTTAAAAAAATTTCTAAAAATAAGTTTATTAATTTTAATTTATTTTTAAATTAAATAACTATAATTAAATTTATAACTTTAATTTAATATAACTTGATTAAACTTAGGTTCTAAACTATTGATTTAATAGTTAGAATTTTTATTTATATATTTAATAAATAAAGTTTTATGTATACGTGTTGCCCAAATCCCAAATCATTTGGGATTTGGGATGCCAAAATTCCAAATTACTAGTATTTGGGATTTGGGATTTGAGATTTCGGCAAAAAATACTAATTATAATTTGGGATTTGGGATTTGGGATTTCGGCATTTGGGATTTCGGCATTTGGATTTTGAATTTGGGTGGCAGGTATAGTTTTATGTAAAAAAAAGTTAGATAATTTTTACTGAAATCAAGTTCCTATTATAAATATTTTAAGGTATATAAAAAATTTAGAAGATGCTTTAAATATTAAAAAAATAACTGAAATATAAGAACTAAAGAAAAAAGAAATATCTGAAATATTAATTAAAAAAGTTAAGAAAAATAAATTACTGTTATTAAACCTTTGTCAAATTTAAAAAAGAAAATAATTTGTAAAGTTAGATATATATTTCAACAAGTAATTAAATTAAAGAATACTAAACAAATTAATTAATAATTTTCTTTTTGACACTTTATTTATAATTTCTTTAGTCTTTAAAAAGTAATTAATATTGATTTACAATAAATGCAAAATTTTACTGAGGCCTTATTACAAATTACAATACAACTTGAAAAACAATTACAATTAAATCAAAAAAAAAAGTTATATATTGTGCATTTATTATATTTATTAATAAAGTTATTGATTCTTATAAGGAGTGCATAAATTAGAATATTATTATTCAGAATTTTTAATATTACTATTTACAATTCCACTGCCAATTGATCTACCTCCATCTTCACTTTTCAATGCAAGTTTACTATTTCTTAATCTTTCTACACCTTTGTTAACATTTTCTATATGTACTTCAATTGGCATTTCAATTAATGATGGAGTTATTACTTGTTCCCTTAATTCTTCCAAATCAAATTGAAATGATGTTAAAGTATATAATGTAGTTTGTACTTGTGATACAGCTTTTTTTCTTTGTCCATCTAAATTATAAAGTAAACCAAGATTTTCTTGATAAATTTGTTTTTTTAAATTGTTGCCTCCCAAAAATGTCCAAAGTTCAGCTAATAGGTTTCCAAGTTCATGTTTTTGAAGAATTGATTCTTGAGTAATTATTTCATGTATTGATAATAACATCTCATCTAAATCCGTTAAACTGTAATTTTAATATAATTTAATATAAATTAATAAATAATTTAATATAAAGGTATGAATTATTTCTCACCTTCCAAGTGCTTCTTGTCCTACAATAATCATTCGTTTTATATCCACTTCTATTAAATTCATCATTTGATTATATCTATCAGATAATGATTTTCTACTAACTTTACTATCTCTCACATTTTCTAATGATTTCAATGCAAATAAATTATATGTAATCAAATTATCCAAAGATGACTTGGTTCTAGATTGCAAAATTTGTAGATTTCTTCCAACTATTCTAGATTTTTCAATAAATTCCGTTAATCGATTTACTAATTCATGCGCGCTCACTAAATTTGAATACTTTACAAGTGTTCTTAGGTCTGCAGAGGCAAGTTCCGTTTTCTTAATGTCTAAAGCTAATGTCGAAGATGCTCCATCATGAGATAATTGTTGATCCATTATTTGTTCATATGTCTCAGCTTGTCGATTTATAAACCGTGAAAAATCTGGAATTGGTGTTTGGCAAATAGAAATATAACTCGAAAAAGGCATAGCGCAAAATATTGTTGATAAATCATTGCTGAATTTATTTGATACAAATCCTAAAGATGTCCAAATAATAAATAGCGCGAAGGCGATAGAAAAAAATGGCTTTAATATTACAAGTGCGCCAACGACTATATCTAAATAAATTTAAAATAGGTAATAAAAATAAATAAAGCCATTTGAAAAAGATAAACCACTACTTTTTATGTTTTATTGTTAATACGTGCCCATAATAAAATTTAATGGTCCAAGAAGGAGAGAATTTATTGATTCTGTTTTACTGTTCGGCATTGTTAATGAGATTAACTTGGTTTTACCGTTCGACATTGTTAATGAGGTTATCGAGAATATCGTTAATGTGTGAATAAATATTTATATTTTGATATATATATATATGCTATGTGCGAAATTCATCACATGATCGAAGGTGGTAAATGTTTATGTACAATTTTTTTTTTGCTTCTAAGGTAAAGGTAAATATTTTTAAATGTTTAATATGCATTTTTTTTAGTTCTTTCCTTGATAAGTGTTTTTAAGTATCCTTTTTCTTTCGTACAATTTCTAAAGAGGTATTTTTAATTTTTTTCGGTTCTTTATTCAAAGTTTAAAAAGATAAGTCAGTTAAGAGAAAGTAAGAGTATAACAAATTAATGCTATTGATCTAATAATATATTAAATATTTTTATTTTTTATTTTTATAATTTCGAATTTTTTTCCAATTTTTTCCTGATTTCATGTGCCCTTTTCAATTCTAATTTACCAACTTGTTGTACGTGAACTTCATCAGGTCCATCAGCAAATTTTAAAGTACGTGCAAATGCATACATGTAGGCAAGTGGAAAATCCTCACTTAAACCTCCTGCCCCATGGATTTGAATTGATCGATCGAGTACTCTTAGTAACATGTCAGGTACAATAGCCTATTAAATTTACATTTAAAACATTCAAAATATTGTACTTTATTTACTTTTTTTTTTTATTTAAAAAAGAAGATAATAAATAAATCAAAATTATTTTAATTGTTATAATTACCTTGGCCATACCAATTTCTTTTAAAGCATCTTTAGCACCGACTTTATCAATCTTATCAGCAGCATTGAGAACTAAAAATCTCGCCTGATCAATTATCATTCGTGAATAGGCAATATCAGATAATACAGTTCCATGTTCAGCTAAAATTTTTCCAAAAGTACGACGAGAAGGATCTGTTACACGCGCAAGCATTAAATCCAAGCCAAGTTCCGCACTACCAATCGATCTCATGCTGAAAAATATATGCGTATATAATAATAATTAAAAAATATTGGTGATAGATATATAGATATATATTTATATATTTATATAAAGTAATAATAAAATTATTATTATTTACCAATGATGAAGTCTACCAGGTCCCAGACGTCCTTGAATTACTTCAAACCCTCTTCCTTCACCTAAAATAATGTTCTCCACAGGAACTTTAACATCTTTGAATTCAATTTCGCAATGTCCTTCAGGTGCATCATCATATCCAAATATAGTAAGTGGTCTAATTATTTTTATTCCCGGTGTATCTGCTGGAACAATTATCACACTTTGTTGTTTATGTTTATCTCCTTTAGTTGAAGTTTTACCCATCACAAGATATACTTTACAACGAGGATCACCTGTTCCGGAAATCCACCATTTATGACCATTAATCACATATTGATTCCCAATTCGTTGAATTGAAGTTTCAATATTAGTTGCATCAGATGATGCAACTGCTTTTTCTGTCATAGCAAATGCTGAACGAATTTTTCCTTCAAGTAATGGAATTAACCATTTCGCTTTTTGTGCAGGAGTTCCATATTTAGCAAATACTTCCATATTTCCTGTATCTGGTGCTGAACAATTAGTTGCCTTTATAAATAAAAAAAAAAAAAATAATAAATATTTTAAATATTTTTATAAATTATATCGATACGTTTATATAATTTATATATAATTATTAAATACTTGTGGTGCAATAATAATAGATCTACCCATAATTATAGCCATTAACGCATACTCGAGATTTGTTAATCCGGCACCTTCGGGGTAATCTTTGGGAAGAAAAAGGTTCCAAAGCCCAAGTGATCTTGCTTTAACTTTAAGTTCCTCTATGATAGGTGGAACTTTCTAATCAAATATTAAATTAATAATTTAAAATGTTTAGAATGGTTTAAAAAATCTTAATTAATTTAAAATATTAAATTTAAAACATTTCATTTTATAAATTATTCAATTACACCAAGAATTTGCTACACAACATTTTTACCTTCCATCTATTTTCTCCTTTTCCAAGTTGCTTGTAGTATTTTTTCTCAGCCGGAATACATTCGTTCTGATAAGACATAAATGTGTATATTTACAAATATATATAATGATTACCTTTAATCTTTATTATAAAATTTTAATGAATTTTAATAAATTTTAATAAATTTTAATATACCTCAACAAATTCATCAAGAACAGCAATTATTTTTTTAGCTCGTGTTGAAATTTTATCTTCAACCAAGGAAGGTATCGTGTGAACCATTTTTAACTCTAAAATTTTTAAAATTCGGTTTATTTATCAAAAAATCGTGGGAAAACTTAGGTACATCAGAAGACACAAAATTTTTATAATAAAATATAAATCTTTAATTCAAATAAAAATAAAATCCTAAACTAAAATTCATTACTATTTTCTTTAAAATTTTGTGTGTAAAGAAGTCCTTTACTTGATAAAACCAAATACTAATATAATAAGAATTCAATATAATTTAATTTCCATTAATCTTTTTATTGACCCATTAGTCTAGCTTGATTTCATGACAATCATTATTTATTTGAAAAATATTCCATAATAGTGATATAATTTTATTAAAATTTTTATAACCTTAAAAAAATAGTATAAAGGATAAAGATTTAAATATTGGTTTATTTTATCAAGTGTCATTATAATCATTTACATTTCTTAAAATCAAAATTGCAATTTACATAAATTTTTATATATAAGATTATAATACACTTCTAAATTAATTTTATTTAGCTTAAGACTTATTTTTGTTATTGAAAAAAATACATATTTATTATTCTCTTGTCATTTTTAATATACACATATATAGCATGTATTCAAAGTTGATAACAAATAGAAAAAATGTTCACTAACAATACTAACAATACTTTTCAACTAGTGAATAGTTTAATTTAAAAAACTAAAACTTTTCTGGACAAGAAAGAATTAATATATATATATAAAATCTATTTTTGATTAACTGAATAAATTTAAAAAAGAATGTAACACATTTTATTTACATATATTATTTTTCACAGGTGGTATGTTCAATGATTAAAGATTTTCGCAGGTCAAATAAAGGAAAACAAAAATTATTCACCTAAAATTGGAATAATTGAATTCAAAAAAAAAAAAAAACGATTTTGAAGAATTTATTAAGCATTACTAAGTATTTTATTAATGGGATGTGCAACTTGCATTACAATTATTGTTAGCCACACCAACATAACTGAAATAAAGTTTATTATACTAAAAAAAACAATGGATACTGAAATTGAAATTAAAATTAAAAATACGTCACCAGTTATGCGACATGTGAGTGGACGAGAAGACATTTGTACTCAGGAAGTTTTCTCAAAAATCTCAAAAAATTTCTCTTGGTCGGAATAAAACCAAAAGTCACCAAAAAAATAGTTTAACCATCCCTCCACCATCCAACAGGTAGACTTTCTTTAATTTCTACTCACTCGATTCATAATGGGCTCTACGGCCGCTTCTCCAGAGGCAAGTCCGACAAGGTCTGACAAGTCGAGGTATGAATATATCAACTATTAAGTGCGAATTTATGTGTTTTGATAATTATAACCTTCATCAAGTGAATTCTCGAGGTGACATGTAAATTTACGTTTATCAGAAAACCTGTAAGCGAAGTTTACGTTCCCAAACAGAGGCGTAGTCTAACTGATGAAGAACAACTATCCCCGATTAGTGATTCTAAAGGTAGTATCATTAATGATAATTATGAGAATCAAGACAACGCAATCTTAAGAAAAGGACGAGGAACATTTCGTGGTCCTGGTACCGATAATCAACAAGACCAACAAGACCAACAGAAACAAGCCCCTCGTACCCCTAGAGGTCGCGATTTTGATGCAACCTCTTTACGACAATACCCACCAAAAACTGGGGATAAGCCACCAAATAAGGGTCACGTTAGGGCTAAGTCAAAATCAGATAGTAGAAAGAATAGCAATGGACATCAAGGTTCTGAAAGTGGTGGATCCGGTAGCGACAACAATGCTTCTGATGACGTCTCCAAAATCGCTAATTCTTTAGAGAACATCAATATTAGTGATAATAATGAAAGTGAAGTAAAGGTCACTTCTCAATATAATGATACTCCATTGACTTCACAAGAATTTCTAGTACAACAAGACGTTGATGATTGGGAAAATCAGGCGGACGTTGCTGAAATGAAAAATAATAGTGGTTTCAATAGTCCAATTACTAGTCCTACCAGTCCTGTAGAGAATCCATTTGATTGGCAAGCAAATAGACAAAAATCAGAAGCTCAAAAGAATGAAAATGCGAAAAGTGACAATAACAATAACAACAATAATAATCGGGCGGGTTTCAAAAAGGGGCACAAGAAAAGCAAAAGTAGTAAAATTGAATTCAATTTTGATCCAGGTTCGTTCTAATTGATATAATTGATATAATTGATATGGTTGATATGGTTGATATAATTTATATAATTGATATAATTGATATAATTGATATAATTGTTGTATTCTTTTTATAATTGATATAATTGTTGTATTCTTTTTATTTATTTATTTTATTAAATAATGTCATTTATTGTTATATCTTTATCGCATAATTTAGATGCATACGAGGGATCAACTCGTATTCTTGATATATTTGATTTTCCTGCATCATTTAAAACACATCACCTTCACGAAATTTTCCAAGAATACGAAAATATGCGTGGTGGATATCGCATTAAATGGATGGAAGATACTCGCGCTTTGATTATCTTTGAACATCCATCTACAGGTTAGCGGTAAAATATATTTTTATTACGAATTTATATAAAAATATATACAAAAATATATACGAAAATATATGCTCAATCTAATTTAGCGCGAAAGGCATATTTGGATAATGTCACCTACCAACTAGCCACAATTAAACCATATGAAGGACCAACCGACTTTCTTCAAAAGAGTGAGTCATATTTAATAATATTTAATATTTAAATTTATTTATTTATTAAAGGAAGAATATTTTATAGATCCTAATATTGCAGCACAATCTCGTGCGCGTCCTGCAACCACTGACATGGTCGCTAAACGACTTGTTCATGGCGCCCTTGGGGTTCGCGTCTCAAGATCTCCTGAACAACGTCAAGCAGAAAATATGATTCTCAGGTCTGCTCGAGGTAATAAATGGTTTTAAAATCAATTTATCAATAATTGAATAATACTAAAAAAAAATATTGAATAATAAAAAATAAAAATAAAAATAAAAAATACTAAAAATAAATGCAAATAAATAAATAAATAAATAAAATTCTTTTTCACATTTAGATCAACGTGACCAAAGACGTAATGAAGTTACGAGACGGTCTCAAGATTTGGATTCAGCATTCAATGAATGATTTACATTTGTTATTCACCTACTTATACATATATTTGAAATGTTACAATATACTGTATTTGTATCATTATTCAACCAATATTATCGAAATATCCAAGAGAATTTTCAGGATATAAATCGAAGGAGGACGTAATACACGATGAAACCATCTAGATGAGATGATTCCATACATTCCCGTTTATTTATTAAAAATTTTTTTTTACTTGAAAAAAAATTTACACACCAACTACTTCCTATATTTTCAATTTTTTTTTTTTTTTTTTTTAATTTCCCATTTCTTCTTTTTCTTTTGCCCTCTGACTTTTCTTTGTATAATACATTTGACGATATCTCTCAAAACCTTCCTGAAATTTTCTTGGAACTTTTTTGTAAAAAACTATCTCACCTCCATTGACATTGAAATGCATGTTAAACTGACGTAAAACGCGATTGCACTGTGGAACGAATCTGTTTTGACCATTTTATGTGAGATAGAGAATTGTATTAAATATAAATATTGACAAAAATGGAGATTAAAATTTGTATAATTAACCATCAAAAATAATATTACTTTGAAGCCACCCTGACTTTTTCTGGGTATATATTTTTCATGAAAAACATCGCCAAAGTTATAACTGCAATAAAAAGTAATAGCTTACTGAAAAACTGAAATGTGGGATTCTATGATAAAAATATAATTTTATATAAAATATAAAATAATTTATAATAATTATAAATAATAAATTGAATAAATGGTGATATAACATACTTCATTTTTGTGAACAAAGACTGCATATAGTAGAATAGGAAGAGACAAGCATATAAATCCAAGAAATGCTATCAAAATATATGTACATTGAAGTAATTAAATATAAAAAAATTGAATCAAGAATAAAAAAGAAAAATAAGGATAATGACGGATGTACTGAAAAAAGTAAACCTTCATATTTGTAACTACGTTTTTGTAGTTGATGTAAATTTTGTTTTAATCTTTCTTCAAATATTAAAAGATCTTTATATCTTTGATGGTTACTAGGAGGAGGAGTTGCTGGGGTAGATGGTGAAAGAGAATCTGTATATAAAGGAGAAATTAGAGAGGTAATTGAGGAATCTACTGAATCTATAGAATCTACGGAAGAAATAAAAGAAGAGGATCTAGTCATTATATGAAATTGTGAATAATCGCTAAGAGAGTGTTTTTATGAAAGTTCTAAATCGAAATTCCGAAAGTTTATTTTTAATTATTTTTAATTGGTTATCAATAATAATCTACACAATTTGTATTAAATTTATTAAATTAAAAGTTATTGTTACACGAATTTCAAATTTTTTCGGGATAACATTTTTTTTTTTACAAATTTGTAAATTCTTTTAATTATTGTAAAAACTTTTAAAGGTTTGGTTCGATTGAAAGTTGAATTGAAGTCTACTCCCATTGCCTTATCAAATTCATAGTTTGATACTTTCAAAGTTGATTCAGTTTAATTTGGTTTGCTTGACTTCTTAGTAGTTTTGGTTCTCAATTCAAACCAAACTGAACTGAACTTTTTAACACTAATTATAATAATTATAACAATTAAAATGTAATACCGATCAATTATTGTATATTATTAAATACAAAGACAACTTATTCAATAATTTTGTTAATTCGGTCAACCATAAACTTATCAAACTTGCCGAGATACGTTATTATTGACTAATTTTCTATATTCTCTATATTCTATAAAATTGAGAAAAGAATCACGCGTAATTTTTTTTTACTGACTAATATGGTCTGATCGGCGATAAAAAATGTTGGATACATTGTTTATTATTTTGCTTTTCGGGGGGTCTCCTTAAAAAAAAATTTAGATGTTAGAAGACTATAATGGTGAACAAGGCCATCAGGAATATAGTCGACCAAAATCGAGTCTCGAGTTTGTGTCGTGAAACATTTACAGGTAAAGACTATATTCTGTATTACGCTATTATAACACTGAAAGTTTACCATTTTAACGAAATTAATTTAGGACCAACATGTCTATATCACTGGTTAAATACAAAGAGGCCTGTAAGTTGGTTTTAATTGTATTGATTGTATTAATTGTATTACAATTATTTGATAAAATTTTTTTAGAGTTAATTATCGAAAAAATTTAATTCTCATTTAATAGGCTCGGTTTCTTCGGAGAAATCTATTCTATATGCAAAAACCTCGGAAGAAACAGACAAAGAAGCAAAAAGCAGCTCAAAAGAGAAGACGCATTACCCTTGACGAATTATTTAAGCGTCGAGAAAAAGAGGAACAATCTCTTTCAACAAGGTCTGTTTAATTACGTTTAATTGATTGCTGTAATATCTAAAATTTTTAGAATTTCAATTTCTTTTTTTTTTTATAATGAAGTCGAACTAGACGTTCACTTGAACTTACTTTTGAAGGATTGGTCGTGTATGGTAAAGTGAATTCACTAAACAATGATCTGAAGTAATTATTTTACATCTTATATAATATTAATATAATATTCTATTTTTTTTATAGCTAAAATCATACCTGAGGTCGAAATTCGTCTTGCGCTCGAATGTGAAATTACTCTTTATAAAATCAAAAAGGTATAAATAATCATTTACAAGTTTATTATTTGCAAAAGAAATTATCTTAATTTTTAAATAAATTTCAAGCAAATTTCAATAATTTTTAACTAGGATCATTCAAAAAAACGCAAATTAAATAATGGACATTATGATACTTGCGAATATAAACAAATCTTTCGTTCTTGTATTCCTTTAGCATATGGGACTGACGGATGCTTTGCAAAAGATCTTCGGACTGTACAACCGTATATAACAAGTTTCGAAGAAATCGGGGATCCGATTCCAGACATTATTTTAAATTTTCGCATTTATGCATTAAATTGTCAAGCGTGGCCACCTCTTGCGACCTTCTCACCTAATCAAAAAGGATTAGGTAATGAGCATTCAAAATTGAACGTGGTTCGAAATGTTGGTGATTGTATTGACATTCGTAGGTTTCTTTGTGGTCAGTTGGGTGTGATTGAAGGGGAAGGGGGAAAGTTTGTTAATGATGGGCAATATGATATTAATCTTAAACTTGCGAGAGAACAAGGCTCTATAATACCCTCAGATTGGAAGTTACGTTTTTCCCTTAATTGGGATTGTAAAATGCACCTTCCCTTGAGACCAATAGATTCTAAACCATTTATAGTTTTCAACACTTCAAGGGATGATTCTCCAGTTTCATACATATTTCGTGTGGCTGACTGTGAGTTAACTCAAACAGTTAAAGGATTCCGTTGTCCATGGTGTAGCTTCATCCATTTTAAGGACAGTAAATGCTTAATGTATCATCTTCAAAATAATCATGTTCATTTAAAATTCAGAACAAAAGTAAGATTTATATATTCTTTAATTATTACATTTTTTTTAATCAATTAATTAATTTATTATTTATTATTATTATTTTATAATTATTATTTTTTTTTTATTGTGTTGATAGAATGGAAAACAACTTCCAAGTGATCGAATTATTATTGTGACTTCAAATGAAGACTTTTCAGAGTTCGATTATTTCTTAATTGATAAGCGAGATGGTAGTTGGACTGTTAAGCCATTTATTTATCCATTAAAAAATTACACTGTGCCACCTCTTGCTATATCATCATTGCCGACTAGCAACTTTTATCATTCCCACACATTTATGCCTTTCAAGGAAGGAGATACTGACTCCGAAGATGAGATATGTACACATTGGTTAGAACAATTAAACGATGAGGTGTGGATTTTTATATAGAAAGAGATATATACATAATATACATAAATATTATATATTTACCAATATTTATTCTTAGACGTTAGATGAACTTTCAGATGTAAGTGATAAAGAGAAACAAATGATGAAGATTTGGAATAGGTTTATAGAACCAAAAAAGTAAGAATTTTTTCAATATTATATTTTATCTATTTGTTATCTCATTATTTAATTTAACAGGATTTCAATTCATATAGAGGACTTGCGGATAGAAATCTTTCTATTGTTTGTGTCGAATTTGCCAAATCACGTGCTCATCAAATTGTTGATTTGGATTTGAGAAATGAATTTGCATTTCATTTGCTCAACATTCTAGAGTTTCAAATCATTGATAGTGCTTGTGTCACCAAATGTTTGGGATTTGTTGATAAGGTGATTAAAAAACATTGATCATATTCGTGGATTTCTTTGTTCCGGGAATATGTTTAGGCTCTGTGGCTCGAGGTTGTAATACGATTTAGATTAAAAAAAAAAGAATCGGTCTTTTTTTTCTTTCTTATAAATTCGTTTGGTTGAATTATTTGTAATAAACAGTAATAATAGAATGATTTATGCCTCGTTTCAATTGCTAATATTTCTCAGTATCACGCCTAGCACTGTTCCTTTAACATCAAAATACTTTGTGGCATGCATTTATTAATTTATATTAAGATATTACATTTAAACACGAGGTATGTAAAGAATCTACATTCCTTAATTATCTGTAAACAAAAACTTGTTTAATAGAATTACTGATTTTATATATCATATTTACGATTCTTTTATGAACAAAAGAATTCAATAATAAGGATTCAATAATAATAGTAGTAAAATCAATAATAAAATCAATAATTAATTCCAAAAATTTAATTAATAAATTCTGAATTTGGATGGTGAGAGTTTGTGTATAGCATTTCAAATTTTAGCATTCATTCATTTCATTTTATAGAAATTGAAATATTAAAAACCGGAATAATTTTTTCATATGAATTGCAGGAGATTACATAACACTAAATTAAATCGTTGATTGATAGCACTTTATTTAATGTGAAACCAGTGTAGCTGAAATTATTATACTATTTCCACAGATAAATCATACAAGTTATAACTTATTTTTATCACAAATGCAGGATAACTTATAAGTTTTTTAATAATTTAAAACATTAGATCTATAAAGCTATATAAATCTATTTATATAATTGAATCTTCCATTATTATTATTATTATTATTATATAAATTAAGATTTTTTGTATATAATGGTTCAAGTAACCAAAATTGGATTACCAAAAAAAAATGGATAAAATGATTGCAAATAAATATAATATAATACTTTTAAAATTGTGTTTTGTGTCTTTTATATAATATAATACTTTTAAATGGTGTTTTGTGTCTTTTATATAATACTAGGAGAACAGGAACTGTTGTAAGTCCGGAGCTAAATTATATAAATTATATCAATCAATTTAATTTGCTAAGATTATTATAGAATCATAAAATAATTAATTAAACAAGATTATTCTAGAATCACAAAATAATAATAATTAGTCGAGCAGAAATATAATTACACACATAATATAATGACAAATAGCAAATACATGTAAAACTTTATTAATAAAATTAATCTATTTATAAGTATAAAAATTTAATTACATATAAAATTGTTGAAAATTGCTTTTCTTTTACTTCGCATATTAATCATTTAATCGTTCTAGATTGAAAAATTCTATGTAAACGCATAAAAGATCTGTTGCACGGGCAATTCACTCAGCAACAAACAAAAAGATTAATTAAGCTGTATTGAATAAATCAATTAATTGTATTAATAACAATGGCAGACAAATTATGTCGTGACATGCAAAGGAAACGTAAAAACAGGGAGAATGAAAATCCAGAACAAAGTGAAAAACGTCGCGCTCGTGATCGCGAAGGTAAAATCAAAAAAGGGCAATCGAAACTGAAGAACAACGTAAGAAAAAATTGAATCGAGAAAACGAACAAAAGAGAAAAAGAAGAGCAATAAATAAGGGACTTGGCTTGATACTTGGCGAATGCTCTAGTCATCAAGAAAATAATTCGGAACAAAGGTAAATATATAAATGATTTAAGTTAGTAGAATAAAGTTAAAAAAGGAATTTAGCTCAACACTTGGTGAATGCTCCAGTCATCGAGAAAATAATGTGGAACAACAACAAAGGTAAACGTATAATGATTTAAGTTATTAGTAAAATAAAGTTAAAAAAGAAACTTAACTCGACACTTGGTAGTCATCAAGAAAATAACGCGGAACAATAAAGGTAAATATAACGATTTAAGTTATTAGCAAATAAAATTAAATTAAATAAAGAAACGCTTGTAGACTATGCTCCAGACAATTACCTCTTGCATCCATTGAAAGTGAACTACTTTCTGAATTTGATCAAAACCTTTTGTAAAAATTTTAATAAATTTGAGAATAAATTTTGTCTCACGTGCAATGAAAGTTTGACAAAACTATTCCAAAAAGATTTTCTGCAGAAAACAATATGGACCCAGGAGATGTACCTGAGGAGTTAAAATGGTTAACTGAAATTGAAAAAATGCTAATTGCACAAATATTTCCTGTAATTTCAGTATATTGTCTTCATAGAGGCCAATATGCATATAAAGAAGATATTATTAATTTTCCCCAAGATGTGCACGAGTTTGTAACATGACTTCCTTGTCATCCATCATCATTGGATACACTTGTTGTGCATCGTGAATCTTCAAGTGGATTAACCTTCAGAGATTTTAACATTCACCATATTAAAATCGCTCAGATACTTTCCTGGCTAAAGGAAAATAATTATTATTACACTAATATCACAATTAATGATGAAGTGTTACAATCATTGCTTGACAATGGTCCCATTGATAAATATCTTCCACAGATTCAAAGTACTGAAAATGAATATCTAAATGAAAATGAAAATAAGCAGTTAAATATCAACAAAAATGAGTAATTAAATAATAATGCAAATGAAATTGAAGATACAATTATATGTAACTTCATTCCTGTCCCTCTATTATCTTATCATAAAGACAAAACATTCTACAATACTATACAAATGCCATTCTATAGCATTATTCGAACAGCACTAACATACTAGAACATAATGTTCTAATGTGTTATTTAAACATTTTGTATTAATAGCATACTAATACACTATTCTAGTGTGTTATTCAAATGTTTTGTATTTATAATATACATGTTCCCAAATTTGATTTTTGATTTTTTGGGATATTTTATTTTTTTGATATTTACACAGAATTTATTCTATATAAGGAAGTAAAAAAAATACCTAGTTAGGTTTATTTTTAATCAAAGAATCTATCTGAATAGTCAAAAAATTTCAGATTTTAGATAAAATAATTTTGTCTTCTATGAAAAACTATTTCAACTTTTTTTTTTTCAAAATTGTAATTTTGGAATTCCAAAATAATTTTGTATGCAAGTATAATTTATAGTGTACTAAAATATAATGTTCTAATACATTATTTAAATATTTTGTATTTATAGTATACTAAAATTAATATTTTTAGTGCATTATTTAAACATTTTGTATTTATAGCATATTAGAACATCTCTATAAAATTCCTGTTATATCAGTAATACTTTTTCTCAAATACAAGTTATATCTGCATTAATTTTATGACCAAATATTGATAACAATCTCATCAATGAATTTCATACTCCTGAATATATTTCACATGTTGTCACTACCTTTTGAAAGAGTAATTAAAGGAATTGGTAAATAAGTAATAGTGGCAGGAATGAATTTGAAGAGGAAATAATAATAAATATTGGTAAAGTGATAATTATCAAAAGGTATATAAATAATTCTACACTAATTTAAACTTTAAAAACAAAAAAATAAAATAATAATTAACTATAACAAAAATATTAAAACATAAAAATATCAAAATATCAAAGTCAAAATTAAAAGCAAGATATCAACAACAAAAACAAATTAAAATTAAAATATCAAAATATAAAAGTCAATCAAAATAATAAAATAATAACTCAGTTTATTACAATTTACTTAATAAATTTATTATAAAAAAATAACTAAATTACAAGTGAGCAAATAAATATTTTAATTATAAAAAAATTGAATTAATAATTTAACAGTTTAAAAGTTAATATAAAGTAATCAAAAGTTAAATTTTTACAAGATTAATTTAATGAAATTTTTATATAGATTCAAAATATATCTCTTAACCATATCAATTGTTACAATAAACTATTATCAAATGTATTTAAGTTTTATAGATACATTTTTCAGGTATACTATACATCTTCCAGGTACACTATATATTTTCTAAACATATTATATGTTTCACAATTAACAATTAAACAAATAAACTAAGTTAAATAAATTGTAACTCCAATAATAATAAAAAAATAAAATATGAAATAATTAATAACAATTAATAAAAAATAAGAATACATAATAAAAAAAAATAATTAAATAAATAATTGTTAATAAAAAAAAATATAAGTAAATTTAAAGCAAGTTTAAAAATAAAAAAATAATTATAAAAAAAAAACTATAATAATATTTTCCTAATATTATATCTATATGATATTATTATTATTTTTTTTGACTTCTTCTTATTCAGTATATTTTTATACTGTCATACCTATTTGTCATATCCCATTATTCTCTTATTTCAATCAAAAAACCTTTTACTTATTTGTCATATCTTTTTTTTTATTTTTCTTTAATTTAATTATCAATAATTTACAGGTCAAAATTTAAATATCAGACATTTATTAGACACCTATCAGACACCTATCAGGAAAGAATAAATATATTGGATACCCGATATAATTGATTATTACTAAGTACCCGATAATTAATTTTGTAAATTTTATTATGCGCCCAATATAATAGTGATAGGTGTGAGATAATTTTATTATTATCTCAGGTTTTCAATATTGTCTTGAATATCAGGTGCATGATACTAAAATAGTAATGTCAGGTGGATGGTATTCTAATTATTTTATTTGGGTACACAATATTATTATATGCTCATTGTATTAGATAATCTCTTTATTATTTATTAT